CCACCTCCAGCATGGCCAACCTCATCTGACCCAGGACACCGCTGCGTGAGCCTCACTGGATACGACCCATCAGCTGGGCTTGTGCCGGCCTTTCCCTGAGGAAGGGCGAGCGTCGCGGTGTGCCTTGCACTTCTTTTGGAGATGACTGGCGTTTGCTCTGCCCCAGGCTGATGGCACGGCAGGGACTTGGGGTGCCTGGTCGGGCTCTGTGACCTGGCGTGTTAGGAGCACGGCGATGGCCTGGTTGGTGTTTTATCTCCACAAAGCCTCCTGCGACAGCTGCTGCCTGCCCGGCCATGACCCCTGTCACAGCGTTAAGGTGAGCCTGTCCTCTACCCTGGGGACCTGGGTGCTTCCTTGGTTCCTGCAGCTCCCGGGGCTGTGTCGTGCGCTTTCCTGGCAGGAGAGGCTGCGGCTGCGGAGGGTGTAAAACCACCCCGCGCTCTGCAGAGCTGCCAGCTCAGACCCCTCTCTCAGCTGGCGCCAGCGCTTCGTGCCCCTGCGCCCGTGAAGGTGGGCACACGCCAAGCGTGCTGCGATGCCCTGTGTCGTGCGTCCCCTCCCTGCCAGGCTGCGGGACCCCTGAGAGAAGCAGAGCCCCCAGCAGCTGACGAACGGTGGGAAATATTCTGCACGTCCGCAGACGCGCAGCGCAAACGGAGGGAGCTTGGGGCGAGGTGCGGCTGCAGGGGCTGCTCCCGAGAAAGCACCTGTGTGACTGTGACAGCGAGCGTGGGATTTGCGTGGCATTCTGTGTGCAGAGCCCTGGCACGGCTGGTCCTCATGTGAAATGCCGTTTGTACCTGCAATGCCAGGATCTGTTCCAACATCAGCGTCCTGCAGCCCACCGTCTTCTGTGGTGTATCACAGGGGCGATCAAAGGGTGGTGGTGTCAGGGCCCTGACGGGTTCTCAGTGCTGGGCTGTCAGGGCTCTGTCACCACGCCAGCGTGCTCCAGCTGCAAGAGCCACACGCAGCAAGGTGCCGTCGCGGGGGGTGGTGATGGGACACCCGGATCCCGGGGCCGGGTCTGCAGCCCTGCAAGGGCAGCACGAGGGGTGAGTGCTGTTGCCCTCCGAGCAGAGACTCCTCTGCTGCCGTGGGACCGCTGCAGCCTGCTCCCACGCTGTTTCTGTCTCCCAGGTGCTGCTGCGGGGCAGAAAAGTTCTGCTACTGCTTGGGCCTTACCTGGAGCTTTTTTAGTGTGTTTTATCTCTACAAGGTGTCTGTCATCGAGGTGCCTTTCCCAGAGGCAGACTAACAGCTCACCCTGGGGAGCTTTTCCTGTGACTTGAGGCTAATTTACCTGTCAATGTTTAAACTTCCTCCATAGACCCACGGACCATTTACGTGCCCTTTCCACAGACACAGGTCCTAACCTCCTAGCAAAGCTGCTCCTGTGCAACCTTCTCTTCATCTTCCTGTCTGCTCCCATCTCCCCCTTACCTGAGCTGCTCTGTTATTCTTGCTCATTATTTGCTAAATTCCCTCTGTAATGGAAGAAGACTGAGCTATTCTTTCTTGGTGTCTGGTAACAAATTTATTTGGAAGAAGGCGATAACACATTCCCTCCGTGACAGCATGAATCGCTGTCCGTGTTACACCTGGAGACAGGCTCGGAGTTGGGCATGAGTGAACCCCTCCAGGCATACACTGGACAATGAGGACTTCATCCCTTCGCAGCTCCAGACCACACCATCCCCAATGCACTCAGGTCGCGTGAGGGCACTTCTGTATTCATCTGCCTCTGCCCTGCTCCTGCTGGCTTTCCTTTCCCCCGCAGCCTTGGATGATTTCCCCCAAAGTACGGGAACATCATTCTGGCTTTCCTTTTCTGGATCTCCATTATTTCTAAATTCTCCTCTACTGCTTTCACATCATCTATAGCTTTTATTAAACTACTGTTTCCTCCTCTCTCTGTATCGCTTCCCTTAATCTGCCTGAGAGTTAAGAGGGTGTTACAAAGCTCAGGTCCTTCTGTGCTAAATCCTCTGCGACGCAAAGAGCCGTCCTTCCCTCCGGGGCCATTGCACCTCAGGTCCAGGAGGGACCTCTGTGCATGCGCAGGGAGGGACAGGCTGGAGCTGGACAGTTTTGCATCGTCGCTGTCGCTGCTGCTCTGCACCTTTGTGTCGGGGTGTGTGCCGTTATGCCAAGCTGCACCGTCTCTGTCTGCATCAGTGCTTTAGCGGTGATTCCCAGCTCCCCAACGCGCAGGTGTGGACAGCCTGCACACCAGCTGTTTTGCGCATCTGGGGATTTCTGTGAAGATCGCGACTGCGCCCAGCTCGCAGCTCCGCGCCGCCTGCATATCAATGTGAATCTTCCCCTCCATAGCCCCTTCAAAGTGTGCCCCAAGTGCCCATGAATTGTGCCAGAACAGGATGCTCACGGGCTGTGCCAGCAACCTGAGGAGATACCGGCTGGGACCAGGCTGCCTCCGAGGTTGGTGGTTTGGGTGTCCGGCTGCCCAGGCGGGAGCCTGCACTGCCCCAGTCACTGGCTCACCTCTGCAGTGCTGGTCTGTTCCTTTCTCGGTTCCTGTGTTCTGCGTGGAAATACATAATAAAGTGCTACACAAATCGACCGTGTTGAAGACTGATGCTGGAGTGAGGCCTCTCTGCGGCGCAGGAGGTGGCAGGGCTGTGCAGAGCTGCCCTGCGCTCAGCCTGAGCCCTAGGTAGGTATCATGGCAGCCCAGGGTCCCTCCCGCAGCTGTGCTTTCGGCTCATCAGCTAGCATGGCAATGCCCCCACAGCCCCCCAAAAGCAGGTACTTACTGCCTGATATGCGACTCCCACCTCCAGATGCACCTGCATCTCCCTCTGCTCAAGGACCTAGACACAGCCGGTCCCCCTTCCCGCCACTCTGTCAACCTAAGGCCTTTCCCTGCCCCTGAAAGATGCTCACGTGGAGCACGCAAAGCCTCCCAAATATGTCGGTGCCGGGTGGTTTGTTTACAGAGAAGCTGTTTCGCCCTGCGGTAGGGCCAAGCCTTAAGCCTCGCGGCGGCAGCTGCTGCCTGCAAAGAGCCTGGAACCAGTCTGCCTGCATACCTTCTACTGGTCCCATCCGGCAGCCTCAGCGGCCATCCCTCCACAGCTTCCCGGGAGAACCCCCTCGAGAAGGCTCCTCCGCTGCTGCGCTGATGCCCCTGTGCTCCCAGCCCTGCATGCCAGAGGCATTTCCCCCACCGCCAGCTGCTGGGCTCCTGCCCGCTTGCACTGGAGTTGCCTGGAGAGGGGGGAGAGGGGCTGCCACGGGACTGGAGCCCCCTGGACACCCAAAAACCAGCCACCTCTGCTCCGTCAAAGAATAAACAGGTGGGCCTCCCAGCAGGGTCAAAGCAAACAAGCACCCACCGCCAGATACTGAGGGACAAGAGTGAGAGAGATCCTGGATATAAGAGCCTGGGCAGTCCTATTTTTTCCTCTTTTAAGACATCACTGAGACCAGAAGTATAATGCTGCATCTGGCATGAGTTCATGTGACTGAAAAGCATGTCAAAAAGCCCAGAAAATACCTTCCAAAAGACAACTGAAATACATTTTCCCAGTCCTCAGTCTCCTATCTTGCCTCAAAGGCACTAGAAACTTCCAAAAATTACAGCACATATGGTGTTTTCACAGGTAGCTGTTAAGATGAGCCCAGAAGGCAAAACATGAGGCAGTGACTACAAAAGTAAAGCTCAGTTTGGAAATACAGCATTTAAGAGCGAAAACTGGCTGACCACTGAAACAAGCCAGCAGGTTTTCCTCCTCCTGGCTTCCAAGGACACGTTCCCTCTCTGGAAGGTGCTTTACATCACTGGCCGGTATCACACATCCAACGCCCGAGCCACTCGTCCCCTTTGGCTTACATGTTCTGACATGTATTATTTACTTTTGTACACACTGTGCTCTATAAATAGCCAAATGAGTAGAGAAATAGAAAGGCAGTTCACAGGGAAATGGAGGTTTGAAGGAGATGGGGGAATCAGCCATGTGGCGGGGCTGCAGGAAATGCCATCCCAGTGATGGTGCTTCGTGCTCCAGAGCATGACGGAGAGGTTCCCGGGCTGTCAGGGGTGGTAACGACTGGGCTGCGCCCTGGGATATCTTCCCAGCCGAAGGGCTCCAGCCGTGTGAATCACTTACCAAGGGTGAACGCCGCTGCTGCTCCCTGCTTTTAACTCCAGCGTGACCCACGTGCTACAGCAGGAACAACATGGAGTTACCTACGTCTCATGCTGTTTATCGTACCACAAAGATGACAGGAATGCAAAAATTACAATGCTCGTATAACTCCGCGGTTAGAGATACAGCCGGGACTCCGCAGTGGGTGCTGGGGGACAGGGCTGTCTCGCCCCAGCGCACGTGCCTGCCTGGCGCCGCAGCCGGCGCCGCCAAGGTCCTCTCAGCTCTGCCGAGCGTACGTGGGAGAGGCAGGTGCCTTTCCAGCACGTCTTGCTGGAGGGGGAAGAGAGAAAACTGGGAAGCAACACAGCGGGAAGCAAGGCTGGAGAGACGTGCACAGGGCTGCCTGCGCCAGATCAGGTAACAGGTTTGTTTGCACAAGAGCACTCGTTGTGCCACAGACCTGTTCTCTCACCGCTGCGGTTAACGAGGAACGTATTTACGGTCCTTGAAAGCACATGTGGAAAAAGCCACACCCCATGCGGGGAGCGCCGGGGCAGGCTCCTCTTCCCACCCCACCAGGACGCCTGGGCGCAACGGGCACCGTCTCCTTCATCTCAGCATCAGAGCAGCGCTGGGAGAGCAGCAGGGAGTCTGGGGGCCCCGTGCCGGTGCAGACCCGCTGGCGTCATGCTGGGGCACCGTGGGGCCGGCTGCCTTCAGCCTCCATCACCGTTCCCAGCCCAGCCCCCCTCCTTTCTGCTCCTCTCCTCCTGCCCTCAGCTGCGTGGGCCCAAAAGCCAAGGGAAGGTGGGAAAGGGCAGGAAGAGGATGGAGCTGGGGGGAACAGCGAGAGGCTGCAGTGGTGGTGGCTGGGCTGCAGGCTCAGATGGAGAGGTGAGGCTCCCGCTCCTCTCCCTCCGGCAGCTGCTCCCTTGGCTGGATGTAGTTGTCCTCGATGAAGCCATCGTCATCGTCAACTTGCAGGGCGGCCGGACACGGCGTGTCTCACTGGCCTCCAGGCCTGAGGAGCCCCTGTCCCAGCTGCTGCTGTCCTCCATGGGGCTGCCCCCGGTCGAGCTGGTTTCAGGCAGCGGCCGATGGCGGTAGCTGGCAAAGTTCTTGTGGACGAGCTTGCACTTGGCAGCCAGCGCAATCAAGATAGAGATGCTGATCGCTGCCACCAGGAAGGCCACCAGGTATGGCCAGCTCCTTCCCCCCTTCCCTGTGGGCGGTGTGGTGGCTGTGGCACAGGAAAGGCACATCAGGGCACGCCGCATCAGCCAGTGGCATACCTCAGCAGCCAGCCCTGTGCACGCCTGCGACGTGCAGCCAGCACTGCATTGCTCTCGTTAGGAGCAGTAGGAACGCTCTTCACCGAGGACTAGCTACCAAGGGTGCATAACCACTGCGGGGAGAACTGCCGGATGGCTGTCTGACACTGGTGCCCATCACCGGGGAGTCTGTGCTCTGGCTGGCTCTGCGGCATCTGCTGAATTTCCAGTTGCAAAGCCAGCAAACATCCCCAGGTGGTGGGCACCCCCCGCGCCCAGCCACCCCTGGAGACCACCCTCCCCACCCAGCGCTGCACCCACAGCGGCCAGGCAGCCTGAGCCTCTGGGACAGTGGGGCAGAGCAGGGGGTCTCCGCCTGCGGTCCCCTCCGCAGTGACGGACGGCAGGAGGGAGCTAGACCTTACGGATGTCCCCCGTAGCTGCCAAACTTACTGTTGCCTTGGGTCACTGCTGTGATCTGCGGCGCTGTGCTGGCCCCCCGGGGAAACCGCTGCTTCACGGGGCAGCCCAGGTCCTGGGAATCCAGAGCTGCGACCTCCCGGCCCCGCAGCCCCGGGGGTGATGCGCAGGTCACCTGCACAGCTGGGAACACATGGACTGAGGTGGGACAGGACACTTCCCCTCCCCAGTGCAGAGAAGATGCTCCCTGCTTGCTCCTGGGTTGATGGGAAGCATCACAAGGTGCTCCTGGCTCTGCCCTCCAGCCTCACCATCCTCAGCACATTGAAAAGCACAAACAAAGAAAAAATTCCCAGACCAAGGAACCATACAAGCATGTGACCATGATTAGGAGGCTCCTTTTAAATGGATAATACTAAATTCACGGATACTGATAGAAACCCCACTGTCGCAGGCCTGCTCTCACCGGGGAGCTGATCTCAGAGGGTTGGAGCCTGATCCTGCTCCATAGGAGGAGCTGCTGAGCGCTCAGCAGCTCTTGAACATGTGGTCACTCCACATAGATACATAAAGGTGGATTTAGGGGCTGATCTGTACATGCAGCCCCTTTCCCAGAAGAGTGGCTAAATTATCCTCTCTGTTGTTCCTGGAAATCTCTCGCATGATGTGCAACTGCAAGCGAGGAACTGACATGTTTTTGTTCTGTGTTCCACAAGAGGGTGGGAGAGGTCCCTGGAGAGCTGTCTCAGACCCTGCCCAGGGGTTGGAGGGAAAGGATCAAGTGGGACCCTTGCACCCGGGGTTCCTCCCGTCCAACACCTCTCCTGCCACCTGCCCCGGCTCGCTCACCTTGCCTGCGCTGTAGCCACCGCCGCAGGGGGTACACAGTGCAGTCACAGACCCAGGGGTTCCCTTCCAGCCGGACCTGCGGGACTGCCTCCATCACCTGCAGGCTCCCAGCATCCACAGACACCAGCGCGTTGTGCTGGAGGTCCAGCTGGAAAAGAGCCTTCAGCGGCAGGAAGAAAGGGACCTCCAGCTCTTGTAGACTGTTGTTGCTCAGGAGCAGTGTGTGCAAGCTCCCCAGGCCCTGGAAAGCGTCTCTGTGGAGGTAGGCGATGCTGCAGCTGCTCAGGTCCAGCAGGTGCAGTGCCCCGAGGTTGGAGAAGACTGCCGGGCTCAGCACCAGCAGGGCATTGCTGGAGAGGTTGAGGGAGTGCAGGGAAGGGAAATGCATCAAGAGGGTCCCGTGACGGGGCATGACCAAGGAGTTGAAGGAGAGGTCCAAACTGGTGATGTTGCTTGGAAGGGAACTTGGAGCGTGCAGGAGGCTCTTCCCGTTGCAGTCGGCCCATCCCTGGGAAAAAAGCCACTGTCTGAGATGGGCTGTCTGTGCTGGGGAGGATCTCTAGACCAAGACTCCCCAGAAGTTCAAATGTCTTAATTAATTACCCTTGCAGAGTTTAAAACAGCAAAGACACAAATTTGTTTAAAAACCACGTAAGCTGCCAGTTTGGTGTGGGCCAAGATAAACAGAGAAAGACGAGCTGGACAGCCCAGGACGGAGAGCAGCTGACTGAGGGACTAAAGGACGAGCATGGAGAACTGGGGGGAAACCCAGACAGATGGGGTGCGTGCAAAGGGACCAGGTTGTCACCTGCCTTACAGGGCAGTTATCACACGGCGTCAGCTTGCAGAAGGTCTTCCTCTTTCTCCCCCAGACCCCCACCTCCAGCCCCTGGGGAGCTCTAGCGTGACACAAGGGCATCCTCCCAGCCAGGCAGGGAGCCGGGTGAGACCCCTGCCTGCTGCGAGGGCAGGCAGGCAGGCAGCAGCCACCGGCCGGGCTGCAGAACCTTGGGCTGCTCCCCAGGACCTGCGCGGGACGTTGCCCCCAAGCCGCCAGCCCTCCTTATGTTGCTGAGGATGCACGGCGAGCGGCAGTGGGTCAGTGCAGCCTGGCCGTGGCTATGCTGGTAAACAAAACAGACCAGGGACATTTGCTGTCTCAAAAGGCCAGCAGTGCATGCTGGATGGATCGATGAACCCGCACGGATGGATTTTTTTTCCCCGAAAAACAAAGCACCCAAAATCAAGCTGGTTTTGGGGACCAGCCCTCAGCATGTGTTACTCCTGCCCGGGCTTTATGTGGGAGAGGGTCAGCAGCCCAAACTGAAGCTGCTGGGGAGCAGGTCAGCAATTTAAGTTTGGCTGGGCAGCCAAGGGCTCCTGCTCCATGCCGCATTTGGGCCCCACGGGCAGAGATGCCATGCTGGAAGTTTGTTGCCATCCGTAGTCCCAGCTTTCTAGGTCTGTGTCTCTTGTGTGATCACCTCTCCCTTCATCCTTCTGTTCACCTGCATCTCCTATCAGGCCCTGCCGTCCCTGCTCACTGGAGGAACAGACGTGCACATACAACCCTGGGCTGCTGAGGACCGGGCTATAACGGGGCCGAACCACGGGGGCACCGCACAGGTCCTGTCTCAAGCTCGAACAGGGCTGGGTGCAGGGAGGCTGAGGAAAACAGTACAAACATTTTGAGGGAGGATCTGAGAGCTCAACGGGCAGCACGGCCCCATGCCGCCCCCCGGCCCCAGCCACTTTCCCTGCCACCTCCCCAGCTCTGTCCCAGGGGAATGGGTCAGTTGTATTTCCCGCTCCTCACCAGGTGCTCAGGGATCCTGACCCCACGGCTGTTCTGACCCTGGCTCCGGTCACTGCATCACCGCGCACCGGAGCAGGCAGTGAGGGGCTGGGAGCCCCTCAGGGACATGCCTCTCTGCTGCTCGCCATCCACCCCTTACGGGCAGCTGTGTTAGGGCAGCACCAACAGACTCCCCTGAGTCAGAACCGCACAGCTCATACAAGGCTTTGCCAGCCCCGTCGTGCTGTGGCAAACGGGCTGGG